ATTAGAGTTCCACCAATATCAGCACATAAAAAAGCAAATAGGCAGAATAGAAACAGACATCTACAAGTGCCGTAATAGGCCTCGACAAGTCAAATGTAGAACGAATTTTGCAGCTTGTGGTGCAAATATAAGACCCTGGGTGTAATGATTGTTATTGGCTACTCAAGTTTTGTTTTTCATTCCGTTCATTCCTACGAGGATGTGCACTATAATTTTGTGTGTTGCTCGGTAGCGACGCCCGTTAAAATACGTTAAGCGAAACAATACGAAAAAGGGAGCGAAAAATCGTCGTCCCCCCCCCCCCCCCTCTCCTGAATAGTTCCGAGGCATCTGGGCGTCATACGAAGTACAGATGTCCCGGTAACTGGCGATCGTACATCGACGGTGCACCATAACAAAAAAAACGTTCGGCCCGCGTCGCCAACTTGTATTTCTACGATTAAACGGCGATACTTCTATGCCCAGGGTCACCCTCGCTCGCGCATAAGACCCTCCGTCAGTCATTCGCGGAAGACTGTCATTCTTCACAAACAACAACACGCGAAGAGTAAAACACTGGTAAACGTGCTCAGGAAAAGTGAACATACCTCCGATTTCGATTACCGGCGACGCTGGCGACGAACCTCTCGGCGCTGTTGACGCAACAACGGGCGCCATCAAGGCGAATAAACACACCAGAACACAAGAATGATTCACACTTTCAATAACAAACAAATTAAGAACTCACTAAAGGGAAAACAATGAAGATACGATGAACGGGGTCAATGGGGAGAACGCGGGAACTAGGAACAACGCTCCTCTCCGCATACCAAAATGGGCGCATAACAACCGTACGCCAGACGGCGCGGCTGGCGGTGCAACACGCAAGATGGCGACGACTACGCGGAAAAGGTCTATAGTTGGCGCTTAAGACATGTTGGTAGTAAAAGTCTTAGTTTATGGAATATGCCGATTGAACGTGAGAGAGTCAAACATAGTTTAGATACATGAATTAATGGTCCAGTATAAATTTTCGTGAAACCATACACCCAAGAACTTTATGGATTCAACCTTCTCTAATTTGTTTAAATTAAATTTTATATCGATTTCATAATTAAGTGCCTTGTTTTTTGCCCTGAAAATAATATACTTAGTTTTAGAAATGTTCAATTCAATCTGGTTTGTCACTAGCCACGTGGATAGCTTGTTTAACCAATCATTTGATACACTTTCGAGATGTTTGAGGTCATTGTGGGAGAAGAAAACATTGAAGTCGTCTGCAAATAATACCATGTCCGCAGAATGCGAGATTTGTACAATATCATTAATATGAACAAGAAACAATAATGGGATAGAATGGATCCTTGTGGGACACCATATGCGATTTGTTGAATATCAGACTTAATGCCGTTAAAGACGGTAAATTGTGAACGAGAGCTCAAGTAATTGCATATTAATTCTAGCGCTTTGCCCCTGACACCATAGGTACTCAGCTTTGTTAACAGTATTTTGTGCTTAATTGAGTCGAAGGCTTTTCGAAAGTCAAGAAATATTCTGATAGTATAGTGCTTATTTTCTATATTGGTTATAATTTCATCTTTAATGTTCAAAAGCGCCATTTCCGTCAATTTATTCCTTTGAAATCCGAACTGCTGTTCTGAAATTATTTTGTGTTTTGTAAAAAAAAAAACTAGTTAGTCGACTATTTATTATTTGTTCCAATATTTTAGAAAAAACGGGTAACACAGAAATTGGCCTGTAATTATTTAAAACGTTTTGTGCACCACTCTTATGTATAATGCAAACTCGCGCTAGTTTCATTCGGTCAGGGAAACGACCTACTAATGATGACATGTTGCATATATGTGCTAGCGGAGTGGATATTAGTTTAGAAATATGCTTAATTGGCTCCGATTTGAGACCGTCCTCCCCTGCATCAGTACTGTTTTTAAGACCATTAGTCAGGTTAAGTACTTCTTCCTCATCAGTTGGACGCAAGAAAACTGAACTGATGATGTTGTGACATATGTACGAAGTGGCATTTCCGTCGTTGGTTGGGGGAGACGAAGGTGCACCTGATTTGAGAAAATGTTCATTAAACATACCTGAGAGCTGTTTCCTCCATAGCTTGTGCCATTTATCTCAAGTTCAGGCGGAAGCGGATTACTAGGTTTTGAAATTAAATTCCTTACAGTAATCCAAATTTTCTTGGGGGCATCTAGAATGCACGTAAATTTATTAATATATTATTCACGTTGAGCCTTTTTTAAATCCGAGTTCAATTTGTTTCGAATTTTTTTGTAGTTGACCAGGATACTTTTATCTTTTAGCTTGATAAATTTATCGTACAAGATATCTCGTTTTTTTATTCTTTTATAAAGCGTGGGAGTCACCCATGGTTTTCTTGATTTCTTATGTTTTCTAAGGGTTTTTAATGGGAAGGCTTGATTGTATAAGGATATGATCTTGTTCAAAAAAAGGTTGTACGATATGTCAGGATCGCTTTCATTACACACAAAGTCCCAATTAATATTTGACACCAAACTGTAAAATGTATCAAGATTTGTTTTGTTATTCATGGGTCGGTATGTTATAGTGGGAGCGGGCATAAACCTATTTATGAATTTTTGAAAAAAGCAAAAAAATGGCAGGTGGTCACTTATGTTCCATGCTAACACACCCCCCCGTAAATTCATTTTGATCACAGTTTGTTATGTATAAATCTATTACGGTAGCAGTTTCTATAGTAACTCTCGTAGGCATATCAACAACACTTGAAAACCCGTAACATTCTGCAATCTCCATTAGTTTTGTAGATAATTGGTTAGAGGAGTTAATATCAATATTGAAGTCACCAATTAAAGTCAGCTTTAGACAGGAACACGAAGCAATCTAATAAATTCTCAACAAATTCAAAAATATTTGCCACGCAACCTGATGGTGGACGATAAATAACAGTTATAATCATCTGACCGCATTTAACAGTAAGAGACTCATAGTCGCAGCAGATTAAAAAATATTCAGTGACAACATCGTGCTTAAGGCAGTATCGAATATACAAAGAAACCCCTCCTCCCCTCTTATCTTCTCGGTAAACACTTTCAACTTTGTATCCCTCAAATAAGAGCATCATCTTTGCCTGCAAACCAAGTTTCAGTGAACGCTAAAATATCAAAGTTAACATTCAGGCTATGTAAAGAGATTTCTAATTCTTCTTGTTTGTTTCTTAAGCTTCTCGCGTTCCAGTGGAAAAGAGATAGTCCTCTTTTATTGAAGGAAGCATTCCCCACAAGGTGATTAAAAGAGGCTGAGTCATAGTATGAACAAATTGTGGTGGTATCGGTCATCCTGTAAAGTGGTATCTACTATGCATGGCTATCTTCTGTCTAGTTTATCTTTTCTAAGTGGCTCTCACTTTCAATTCTGAAGGCTCGATCACCCGCCCTCCTTCGAACGAACACATTTCCATGCTTTTGCCAAGTGTACTGATAGCCATGTTCTTCTGCCTTTACCTTTGCCAGCCACAGCAATTTTTTGTTTACCGCCGTTAGATTTTCAAAAAACCGGATGCTGAACTGACGTTCTCGCAAGTTAATATTTTTGTTGATCCATTTTTCTTGAGTTGCTCGCGAGTTAAATCTTAGTAGCACCGCGGGAATCTTGCCAACGCGTGCTGGCAAGCGGTGCAAGCCCTCGATATCACTTTCGGTAAGCTCTGGAAGTTCAAGTTCAGTCGCGAGTGCGTTTACGGTTTGCAAAAGGTTTTCGTGATCTTTCAGTGGTAAGCCATGTATCTCAAGATTCTGGCGCCGACTATACTGCTCCAAGTTGCTAATGCTTTGCCGGAGTTGTTCGAACTCTGGACCCCCTCCGTTCTCAACCTTTTCAAGTCTTCTTTTTATTTCAGCTACTTCATTGTTCTGTTCCTTGATTTGCTTAAGGACTTCATCGTACTGGTCTGACATGTGCTGAACTGATTCCTCAATACTAGAGACGGTTTCTTTCATGCTGAGTAGCATGTCAACCTTTGCCGTGATCCCGACAAGGCCCGCTAGTTTGCCGTTGATTTCTGTTAAAAGCGACATGATGTTAATTTCTTGCGCTTTCGTGCCCTTCTCTACGTCATGAGCTTTATTGTGTTTTTCTGTCCGGCATGCCGAACACTCCCAGCTCTTTGGCCTGTAAGCCCTTTCATTCACGTTCGCACACTGAGCGAAATGGTAACCGCGTCCGGATTTTGAACATGCCGCGTAGACACCAATCTCTGGCAACGGTTTGTTACATGCAAGACAGAGGCTCTCGTCAACCATGACAACAGACACATAGTCGTTCAGCAGCGGCAGCAGCAGGCACAGTTTTTATAGAGGTTGTGTTAAAATTTACACCAACCTGTAACGATGAATTCGCCGGCTTAGCGTGTTGCGACAACTGCGCTGCTGCCACCGCTGAACGCCTGTGAGGTTCGTCTTCCTCGTCCGCTTCTTTTGAAGGCGCGCTTGCAGTGTCGTAGGTGACGTGTCGGCCTGGCGCACCCAATCACCACACCGGTTCCGGTTGTTATAATGATAATAATGAATAATATAGTGACTTATATAATGATAATAATAAATAATATAATGACTTATATACAAGCATAGATACGTTTACTTCTAAACACACGACGGGAATGATGAACCTTTACAAAAAAGAGTCCTTCTCATGCGTGAGCTCTGCTCCTACTAACGCCAAAATCCCAAATGTGCTTTGGTGGTAATGGCAAAGCTAGACAGGCTGGTTCAAGAGAGCGTCTTGTTCCAACCGATCAGAATAAATGCACACCAAGACCAGGTCGCGCTAGCGAATAAGATGCCATATTTGCCTGTCTCACCACACATGTGATCTTTTGGAGACCCACTTTTAAGCATGGTAAACGCATTCTAATCCAGCAAAGGTCATGTTTATCTTGCTTTAAAGATTCAGGTTCGAATATTTATCTAACAGAATTACTTGCGTACCTTCTTAATGTTACTTTTTTGCTACAGGTGTTTTTGCCGGTCTTCTCCAGAAACCCCTCTACACTTGTAACCTTCCTGTGTAAGTCTAACATGATTTCTTTGTTTCTCAGAACACTAAAGAGTGGTTGTGTGACTGTGTGACTAAAATAATACCTGAATAATTAATGGCATCAGTAGATATGTTAATTAAAATTAAACTTGTGTTGATAATTATTATAAACGAGAGGAGCACAGAATGTGTATTGCGTACATTATCCGTTCCTAATAGTTATATTTTGTTGCGGTTGCTTTGGGGGGATTTCGGGTGCCATGCACACGCGAAACACTCATGTGCCTGCCATTTTTTTTAAATTTATATTGATAAAGACACGTTTAAATTTAGTGAGTAGTGACGTGTGCCAGGAGCAGTCTTGGGTAAGTTACTTTTAAAAAGTAGTTCGTTACAGTTACAGTTACTTTCAGAAAAAAGTAACGAAGTTACCGTTACAGTTACTGAAACAAAAAAGTAACTCGTTACAGTTACAATTACTTTTAAAAAGTAACGACGTTACTTTTCAGTTACTTTTTATAACACAAAAAATAGGAAAAACTAGAAAACGCCCCTCACCAAGTTTTATTGCATAAAATTAAACAGTACGCTTTTTACTTCATATTGTAACTTGGCAGAAGTTCCTTCTCGAAATTAGTGTTTGAAAATTTCCTCGCCACGCAAATCAAAATACGAAACATGCGCAGTGTGGAGTACTGGCGCTAATCGAAATACGAAACATGCGCAGTGCTCTGCGCGTGTATTGTTGTTTCACGGTTGATTCACCGGATTAAAAAGCGTTTTTACAGAAAAAGGGAAAACCACTAAATAGATGGTGCTTCAAGACACTAGGATGTAAGTGTTCAGTCACAAAGTTAAAGCGCGTGCCTAAAGATAACTAGATTTTTTTCTTATGATATCTGCACGTGGCTATATTCGGGTCGTGACTCGTGAAAAAGAACGTATTCACAGGTTTGTGAAAGGCCAACTTGACACTCGAAATGTCGGAATAGACGATTTGAAAAGTGTAAGTAAAATCTAAATTGTACTCGATCAGTGATATATTATTCATAAAACACTGGAAAGTAACGACAAAAGTAACGTCGTTACCTTCATCGTTACCTCAGAAAAAAGTAATAGAACTACAGTTACAAGTTACATTTTTAAAAAGTAACTCGTTACAGTTACAAGTTACCAAAAAAGTAACGAAATTACAGTAACGCTTACTGGTAACGCGTTACTACCCAAGACTGGCCAGGAGTACGCTTTAATGACAAGTTTCTACGGATACGGCAAATGCTTTACTAGGGAATTTGTGTTAACCGGCGATGATTCAATTGCCTTGGCGCCGACAGTTTTTGCGTAGTTAGAACGGCTGGACGGCGCACAACGTCGGTGTTTTCCCCTTTGAATTTGGAGGGGTTGCTGCTGCCATCTGTCGTCGTGGAAAAAAAGTCCAGACAGAAGAGACAGCCCTCTCTACTGCATTTGCGAATCTGGTATCTCGGTGCATTGGCGGGAACCAATGTCTCGGCGCAGCATGAAAGCATAGAGTAATAGACTAAGCATAAAGACTGGCCACTTCCATATGCCCCACTGCTCATTTGGCTGTCAGCGCACCTAGTTGCAGTTGTGAAGTTAGTCTCGGCTTCCTCTCTAAACGTTTCCGTTTACTACATAGATGGACCCGTAGATGTCTGCTATCTAAATCGGTGGATAACTTATATAATTGATTTCGGTCTAATCAGGCGGTAACTTGCGCCACCTAGTTGGCCGTGACTAAGTAGAATTTTAAATTAAGGCAGGAATTGATTTCTTTAACGCACGCGTAAATTATGAAATCCAGAGCGGACCATACACAGCATGCAATCAAATCGCCACGGCTGCACTCAAAAGCGAAAATAAGGGACAACTGAGCAACATAACTGGGTAATGCCCAAACAGCTATTGTGACCACAAAGACAACCATTAATAAAATAACTGTTGGCAAGCGTCCACGTGGGTCTCGCCAAAACCCGAGTCGCAGTCGTAATATTCTTAAAAACGTTCGTTTTCAAGAATATTATTTTTTTATTGTTAATTTTCAGAAATAGTTTTAGAAATATGAAAATAAATGGTAACTATTTCTGAATATTACAAATATAACTAATGTGTAAATAAGTAGACACGAGTGCGCCAGCTAATGGGTATTGTGAATCCTAAAAGCTTGGCCGCGATGGGGCTTCGGTGTCCACTCTTTATGCTTACCGTAATTCTCTATGGTGAAGCGCGACCGCGTCATCAGCTCGAAGTTCATGCATTTTCTCAGGCAGGCCTCCTGCGATGAAGCTTTGAACAAACTGGGCGCACCTATTTTGGGTAGTACAAGCTCACCTGATTGAGCCTCGCACTACTTGTGGCGCTTTCGCCTGAGCTTGTTTTCTAAGTTTTCTTTCAGTGCAGTGCTGAGGAAAGTAAAAACACCAGTAGATGTCCGACATTGGCTAGATTCAACGCCGCTAAAAAATTCAAGGCCGCAAGGAGTAGTGGCATGAATCGAAAGTTCCGGATTCATGCCACTGCTGTTAGGGTATGCGCCTCTCATCTCTGAGTTGTGGCGTTAATACATCTGTTGTTCCAACGTTTCATTTCCCCCCTTCTTTCCTTAGGACCCGTGACACGGCGTTCCCTCATTCACGCTCTCATCGTCTTAGCTCTCTGACTTGCACCTCAACGGCGTTCGTTTTTGTTTTGTTTTTTTCATTTTTTATGTTATTGCATTCCGCACCTGAGTAGGCACGCTTCTACATATGCGCCAGTTTGAGACGCTCAAGTTTGTGCTTCTCAGTACAAGTCCTAACAAGTGCCTTGTTGCAGCCCCTCGTGTGCAAAGCAAAAGGCCTATCAGGGTTTCAAACCACTTTGGGAAGATATGGCGCTGAAGGCACGCTGTTTAATGCAAATAAATTGAATAGAATCTATTCTCCTAGTGAAACGTTCGGGCTCTACATCTTACCAGGATGCTTGTAATGCCTTGAGTTTTTAGTGCACTTGGGTGGCGAGGAGCCCTGTTAAGTAACGAAGGATTTTGTTTGAAATAAGAAAGATTTTTTTTTAGAAAAGTTTATCTTTCTACAGTTGCGTCGGCATTGTTTTTTTGTCTGCCTATGTCTGTGTCTGCATTTTTTGGCCTTTGCTCGCAGACCTGCGGCAGGGGGTACGCTCGCGGGAGGGCTTGAACGGGGAGTCGTCTTCCGCCCCCACGCGCAGGGGGCTTCGAGCAGCAGTCGGACCCAGGTCGTTAACGAACGGATTGGGTTTCAATTTAGGGCGCCGGAACACCCGTGTCTTGGGCAGAGGTACTTTTTTGTGCACTTCAAGCCTTTAAGCGGGTGTGCTTGTGTCCGGTGTATTTCGCTGTTTAGTGTAGAAACTTCGCTTTTAATCGAAGCAATAACTTAACTGGGTGGCGCCAGCCAGGCGGCCAGGAAAGCATGTAGTGACTCTACAAGGAATTTGGGTTGGACCGTTGAGGTGTTGGAGGGGGGTCACATTGACAGCTCGCTGATCATTGGGTAAGAGTGTACCACGTGACAATGGGTAAATTTGAAGTGATTAGTCTGTCTCTGGAGGAAAAGAAGGCCCCTAGGAGTCTAGAAAAGGGGTGCGGAGAGGATTTTTGGGAGATTCGGCTCTTGAGTCTGGTGTTTGCGTTTTAATTGTGGGAGATTCCTAATGTAAATTACTATTTACTTGCCGTTGGTTTTGAAATAAACGTGGCCACACTGGCCATCGTAAATCAACCAGCGTCGTAATGTGTCCAGCGGGATCGAACAACTTTTAGTTTTTTTTTCTTATTCGACTTCCTGGGGGACTTCCATCGGGCGAACATCATCATCAGTCGTTATCATCCTGACCGGCCCCCTCCCGTCGGAAAGTTGACTAGCCCCTTGCGCTAAATGAAGTTATCAAAAGGGAGGAAGTTTATCACAAAGTTTAATCTACCGGGTCCTGTGCTGCGTTATAATGTGCCCCGCGACGTTTTGAGATCACCTGAAGGAACTCCACCTCGCCAGGCGGGAAACAGCTACGCGCGCCGGCGGTCGCCATGTTCACTCCAATCTCACGTTAGTCACACGTGGTCCTGTTGTTTTCACTCTTTCGCACCTCATCTTGTGGCGGCATTTTCATAAAAAGAAGGAAAAACTTCCGTTGCGCCGAGAGAAGTCGTCGGGCTGCGGATCGCAGGGTTCCATTCCCACTGAGCCACTCGTGAATACCTCTTGTTACTACTATATACGCCTAATTATGAGTGCGTATGACTGATTATGACTGTAGTGATAGGGTGTCACGCTCTCAGGTTTTTACCGCAGGGAGAATGTAGCACAGCACACTTTTTTTATTATTGAAAAACAACAAAAAGACATGTAATATGACTTGCAAATGAAACTTCTAAAAAAACGAGAAGTCAAGTTGACACTCAAATGAGAGGTATTTTAACACTAGGGATTAAATGTTCATCGTACAGTCCGGGGTGGTGGGGACGCGGAGAAGTCTTGTCTAGGGTGGCGTGGCGGGTAGCGCTGCCGGTTGGTTCTTTTCGCTTGCGGGTCCGAAACTCGAAGTGGTCGGCGATGGTTTCTGGATGGGTTGAGCACCTTGTGTAAAACTGCGGGCCGTCACAGTTCTTCTTCGCTTCTTCTTCTCCTCCTCCTGCTTTCTACCCCGAGCCATCTTCCGCATTCGTCGTCGTCTTCTGATTGCGCTGTTGACGTCGGTGCTCGCGCAGTCCACTTTTATCCCGATAATCATCACCATAACTAAAAATACTCTTTTTGATGGTTATGCACTGCCTGTTCTGAACTGTGTACGCTTTGTGCTTCTTTGACCGGTGTTTAACGCTCTTTGTCAGACCCATGAGTCCGCTTAAACACCAGCCAATAAAATGTTAAATTCACTTGTTCTTCCATAAAATACATACATTAAGAGATATCTACAAATAACTTTAATCCTAACCGAGTTCAAAACAAATTAGAATGAAAATACTATTTCAAACCAAAAAATAAAGTTTTTTTTGTTTTCCTTGTACGCATTGCAGGCCGAAGGTTCTTAGGAAAGTAATATACATATACATACTACCGGTCTACTTTTCAGCACTTAGTATTATCAATGGGACATTCTGGTAGCCGGCATTAACAGAGTAACCGAATGTATATAGCACACCTCAAGAGCACTTATGCAATATGCGAAATGAAACTTTGAACATTTCATTGCCTACAAATTATCTTATTATTTCAGTGCGGTCGCTATGGGAACTGTCGGATGGTTTACAGGACATGAACTCATTCATGCGTTAGATACCCACGGTGAGTGTTTATGATTCCTATCATAGTTATTAGCCTGGCTACCAATCTAATGTCTCAGTTTATATGAAAGACCCACTCGGAGTTGGTGACCGAGACTGTGACTGGTGGGGGCTCAGCGCACGTCATAGTGCCAATGGAAGCAAAACTGTAACTTGTTTGACGACCTCCCTACTGAAAAAAAAAACATTTGAAATTCAAATAGGTGGCTAACTGGTCAACCCGTTTGAATTAAACGGGTGGCTATCTTGTCGATCTGTTTGGATCAAGCGTGATTATGGGATAACGGTACCCGTCTGAAACGGCACCCGTTTGATACGGGTGCCCATGCGACCAGCCACGTGACCACACATTTGAACGGTACATTTGGATAGGCAAATTATTTGATAGCATTAAATGAGTATCGTCCGGAAGCTTGGTTGTCATAAACTTATTTAAGACATGCCGAAACTCATAAGCCTATTTATAATAGGAAGGAAACACGTAGACAAAATGTGCTCGCGCAGGTGCTTGCAAATGGGCAGGAAAACAGACAAAAAAATGGTTTTAAATTCTCATAAAACTTTATTTCAGCCTATTCCGTAGACAAGTACGAACGTGCAAGCATTCTGTGAAATGTAAAGGGGCACTCTAAGCTTTTATACAACTGAGAAGATTGCATAGCAAACAAGGACCGAAGTAATTCCAGACTATAATGGCAGACTTTCGAAAAAAATACTCTCGCGGCTGCCGCGAGAACAGACGCTGCATAATTCTATAGATAATCTCGACGTGTACCAGTAGTCGTTCCCAACAAGTAGGTATGAATGCACTTACCATAATAACAGCGGACTTGAAAGATGCAATCCAAGTTAAATGTCGACACGGTCAAAGCAGGACAACCACACAACCACTAAAGCGAGAAGGAAGGTTCCTTAAAGTTTCAAAACGATGCGGGAGAGATCCTAATAAAACCGCAGGGAAGGGGGGCAGAGTTGAAGCGGGCACGACAAACGAAGTTGCAACGGACAACAAGCAGACAAGGAAAAAAGCGACTGCCAACGCGCGCGCTGCCGGATCTGGCTATGCTTATATCAGCGTGTACCGTGCCCTCCCCTCTCCCTGGCACGTGACAGAGCTGACCAGAGAGGAGGAAGGGGGTGACGGCGAGGTCAAGGCGCAGGACACTGGGACACCCCCTTCCCCCCCAAACCCCCTCCAAATGCATTCTATAAAAAAATAAAGAAACACTTGCGGTTGGCTTTTTGTGGCAATGCAGTCAATGCTCACCGACCGCTGTACACGCGCTTTTCTACTCTCTTCGAATTGCCGCAGCACGTCGCGTTTGCAGCCTCGGAAAGCAGGTGAAGAGCGCGCATTTCAGCACCCTGGAACGCTGGAAACGGCGTTGGCCAGAAGCTAGGCTTGCGGCCGAGCCGAAAAAGCACCCCGCACGAGCTCGTAATTTGACTGCTGCAACGGCCGGCCTGCTCTCGCAATGCTCGATGTCCGTGCAGCCACGTGTTCGCGCGTTATCTTCGTTGAGTCTTGAATTGAGGTGAAATGGAGTCTAGAAATATATTCTTTCACGCGGTCGGCGTCCTCTGCGCGAGAGATTCGAGCTGAATAAGCAAATTGAGACAACAAAGAACGCCAAATTTTTAAAGTTCTGTCAAAAATATCGGCTCGCCAACGTCGCACATTTACATGTAAAAAAAATCGCTTATTACAGTTGCAGTATAAGCGAACATCAGCGCAATCAAAATATAAATATCATTACTTGCATTACACGGATGATTGTAAACCGATGAACCGGCGCTCCCGCGGCTTTCGGGAAACAGGCTGCCACGGCTGAAATAGGCGCGCCCATGCCGCCATCGGTACGTTCAGTATCAAACGGGCTCCGGAGAGCCGTTTGATTAAACCGGTACATGGCCGCCGGTTTAAGAGAACGTGCGACAAATTTGCTCAAACGAGTGGCCCGTTTGATCAGACGAGTGACCCGTTTGCCAAAGGAGTAACCTGTTTGCCCAAATAAGTGACCGTTATGGCTTATACGGGGGACCCCTTTGACCCATACGGGCGACCCCTTTGACAAACTGATGACCGGTATAGCTAAACTGTTACCGGTATGAACCCGTTTACTTTCATATCGGCGCCAATGTTTTTTTGTTTTGTTTTTTTCAGTAGGGCTAAGTTTAAAGACGCTTGGTTACAACCAGAAGGTAACCTTGATTGTGGCATTGGCTAGGGAACTGAGGACCCTAGAATCCAGGTGACAATCGAAGAACCAGGAAGTGAAGCCTTTCTCTGGCCGTAGCGTTCAATTTGGGGCAATAATACCCTTAGTCTTGACAAGAAATATCAAATTTTGTAATACCTCAGATTTTAGGCTTTGATTACCTTCAATTACCAGACAAGAAAAAAAAAAACACGTCATCTTTGAAATTATGCTACTTGGGTGTTTTTTTTATTTAATTGGGGTTTCGTAAAACAAACTCTTGACAGGCTGTTTTAGAGCGCAGCTCTTAGGGGCCCGTTCCCGGCTTGAGCGGCGTCGCCGTCGCCGTCGCCGTCGCCGTCGCCGTCGGCGTAACCAAGGTCATCCCAAGGTCACGTGACCCCTCCAGGTCACGTGACCCCTCCCAATGTCATCTCAAGGTCACGTGACCCCACGTGACTCCCAAGGTCACGTGACCCCTCGAGGTCGCGTGACCCCTCCCAAGGTCATCTCAAGGTCACGTGACCCCAAGACCCCACGTGACCCTTTGAAGGTCACGTGACACCCGTCACGTGACCCCTCTGAGGTCACGTGACCCCCGAGGTCACGTGGTCTCCTCCCCAAGGTCACGTGACCCCTCCCAAGGTCATCTCAAGGTCACGTGACCCCAAGGTGACCCCCACGTGACCCCCAGGTCACGTGACCCCTCTGAGGTCACGTGACCCCCCGAGGTCACGTGACCCCCCTCCCCAAAGTCACGTGACCCCCCCCCCCCCCCCCGAGGTCACGTGACCGCCCCCCCGGAGCATATTAAAGAATGAGGGGAGGAGGAGGGGTCTACCCTCCCCTCAGTACCCTTCACTCCTCCTCCTCAAGAGCTGCGCTCCAATTCGGCGTTACAGGGATTTGTAAACGGCTTTCACTTTTTTTTATGTTGTGCAGTCGTAGCACCAATTTTTTCTTGCTGTATTGCAGTGTGCTCTTCGGGAAGAAGTGTTCGGTACGTTGCTTACTCATTCTTTATGACAGGATGTATGTATGATTCGACCGGAGCATTCAAGGACTGGAGGACTTCTGAAGTGCGTGCGGCTTATCAGCGCTATTCAGATTGTTTCCAAACACAGTACTCGAGAATATATGACTCAGAAGCTGGAGAAGAGGTGCGTACGATCATTGTCGCAGAGAGATTTTTAGTTATTCGTTAATTATGCATAACCAAAAATAGGCTGTCAGCTTAACTACGGCCAGCAAGTTACAGCTTGCTGAGAGCAGAGTTCTTACTACTAAGGCTAGAAGCTTTGTGTGCACTGAGAATTATAACCTGGGTTAATTAAAGTACGTTTTCATTCTCCTCTTTCTGCATGCAACCTCATGGCAGTAAAATGGTGCCGAATGAGAAATTGAGCTGGAGTCTTATGGTCAAGCGTACCCCAGCGCATTGATCAAATACGAGTCATAGTCAAGTGCTGACGCTGCACTCGAGCCCAATCAGCGGTAGCTGTCCGTCCTAGAGCAATGGCGTAGACATTTGAGGGGAAGAGCATTCCTGGCCGTACAAAACGCACACACCAAGCTGACAATGCAGTTTAATCTAACAGCGCGTTTGATTAGTGAAACGTCTATTGTTGCGCAATGCGAACACGCTCCCAACAATAGACAAGCGCAAAGAGAGGCTTCAGCAGATGAAAGAAAGGCAGTTGATTGTTCTGTGGAGCGCTTAGCTATCACTGCACTGTCAACTTAGGGGTGAGGAGAGTATGCAACGTGGGGGGGGGGGGGGGGGGGGGCTGAGGATTCCACAAGTGCCTGTAGCGTCATCCTTCGCCCTCGGATCCTTTGTTGTACTTCGTTTCTCCGCAACTTGGCAAAGAGCAAAAAGCTCCATTTCGAACAAGTCAGAGTGATGGCGACAAAGCACGTGACAGCGCCTACCAAATGCACGGGGGCGAGAGCGTAACCCAAGCAGTGGAAGCAATTAGAAGGAAGTGCTCTTTACCCGGGCCCTTTTTTGCGTGTCCCGGACATCGTTTTCTTTCCCAAGAAGATTAGACCTTCACTCAAATTTCGCACAAAAGCGCCTTTCCTTTTTCCTGTTGGTATCACTGCGCTGAACGAGTGAGATGGAGTATAGTCGAGTGCCTATCTCGGATGCGCTGATAGTTTACCAAGTTAGTTAATGTAAAAGGGAGAGTGTGGTGCGCCGAGCGACGTTCACGTACATTCGTGGGTTAACCGAGAACATGACAGACAATCTAATGGTGAATTCCACAGGCAGATCCGGAGCGCTATCTGAAATCCGCGAGGGTGGCGAAATTCCACTCCGTGGGACCCGCTCAATATAGACGAGCGGAATTTGAACTCGAAGTTTTCGAGCGAACCGCCGGACCCGCCCCAGACGGTCAGCCGTTAAAAATGGCCGCTGCTCGAACTTGACAAGCAGATCAACGCCTCAGCCGACTGAGCTTTCTGACGTCCGGTCAGAACTGTCCTTGTTTAGCTGCAGAGATAACACGCGACACGGGCCGGGCGAAAATATCCGTACCACGGAGCCCATGTCGCAGATAACAAAGATGACGCGCGCGTTCGCCACCGTCACACAAGTTCAGATTGCTGCTAAGACTTTACTAAACACAAAGAGGTAGCAAATCGTCACTGGTACGGTCGCTGTCTAAACTGATCTTGCTTTTTATTGCACGAGAAACAACGGCAGCATGCAGTGTAAAAGGTTAAGCAATCAGTGGCGGCCAAATGAACATGCCTAATTCTGCCTGTGCCTCCTTCAAAGTTTCTGTAGTTTTTTTTTTATTCTTTTTTTTTTTTTTTACGAGCAGAGATGTCAGCGGATACGACTTGCCACGCTCCAGTCCTGGCTTCGCATCCCTGATCCACGCCAGGTAGAAGCATCCGAGCCGCCAAAAGTGTAAATAACCGACGCTTTAGAGCAGAACAGACTCGACGGCCCGGCCAGCCCGGCCGGTCCGGCGACGTCTCCCATAACCTCCTCGCCGCGCATGCGCACCGCCGAGTTAAAGTAATTGACGCAGTGCGCTCGGCGCGCCTCTGTCAACTTCCGCCAAGCTTTCTGAAAACCCGCGGATCAAGTTCGGCAGGCTTGGAGGCGCTCGACGGGGTGGGCTGCGCCACGAATCTACGAGTGGAAGATGATTAACTCCAACCGGATCTACCAGCGGAAGATGCTTGCTCCAAAATGGGAGCTCTTGGAGTACTCAAAATCTGCGAGTGGAGTTTAGGGAGGTAAATCGCGCAGGTGTCACCCTCGAACTGCATTGAGGTTTACGCAGCGTCCAGCAGATTTAACACGCAATAACTCAATGATTATGCCGCAAGTTTCGTGTTTTAGATTGACCAGAGTGGAAGAACTAAAGTTGGGCTCAGAGTCATATCGCAATTCAGCCATGAACCCCCATTATATCTCAATAGATAAAATAAAAATGTGAATTATTTCTTCACTCGCTTCATTTCGCGTCTCTGCACGGGAAAATATATAGCTCACTGTTCTAAACCAATATTTCTGTACCTAATTTGCAACCTTTAAGAGTGTGTGTTCATTAGGCTAGTTGGCATTGGTTTATTGCGTTTAATTAAAAAATTAAAAAACAAATTAACGGCAAAAATGGTTGTCCGATTCCTTTGTCGTAGTGAAAAATTAGAAAAAGAAAACAGCCTTTACATAAAAACATTTCACGGTTCCTATAGACTGACATGCTCTTCACAAACAAGCCCGTGTTTGCCCACACCAGGTGTCGACGCCACTGCGCATGCGCAGTGCTGTCGACAGCGCCACCGCAGCTGCGTGACGCCAGGGACGCGTGCTGGTCTATATGCAATGCTCACAGCTTTGTAAATACAGAAAAAAAAAACGTTTCAGCTGCCGCTAGATGTATGGGAGTAACAAGGTTTGAATTATGTTCATGATGTTCAAAATCTTATAAACGAATACACGTTTCTAAACAGATGCACCAAATTATTATTGAATACCAAGTTCAGGTCTAATGTTCGGGCATATTTGATATGAATGCGACATAATGTAAAAACACATTGATAAAATACCTATAACATATTTATTCCTCTGATATTTAGTGCCCTGCATAAATAACCATTTCATATTTTTATTCAAGTATGCTGATGATGCTCATCATGTTTACAATGAGCGAACATTTTAAATAACCACAGTATGTTAGGGTGCAAACGAGCTGGTGATGAGTAAACATGAGGAACTATAACCCTGACTCTAGGGAGAAATACGACAATGAGGGAGAGGAAGAAAAGGAGTCTCAAAAAGAGCTCTAGAAGGTTAGCTGCATTTGAGACTCCTGATTTTTCTCCATGTTGATCATGTTAAAATATGCCTCGTTTAACAGTGTTAGCAAGTCATTTTTTTGCGGCCGCTTAGTTGTCAAGCGATTATGACGCATTATATGATAATGTGATGTTTTTAAATGGTAAAGAAAAAATTATTACTACACTATTTTTTATATTTACATGTTGTGCCTAGCTGAGCGGTGTGCGCACGTTGGGAGAAAACATTGCTGACAACGGTGGCCTCCGCATGGCGTCTAAGGTATGTATTCGAAATAATGACACGTCGATGAATCTATAAGACGTAACAAAATCTTACGTCGTCAAGTACAAACAGAGACCTTTAGTTTTCATTTTTAAGTTGTACCGCATAAGAAACAATTGCTAAGCTAACAAATTTAAAAAAGCTTAATTTTGCGCAATGCTATAATATCTCGCTGAAAAAAATATGATACAAGAGCCCGGTAATGTAGGTATATATGTAGCTTCATATTGCCGAACATGACCATTTGGACTGTTTTACTTTAACAGTTATCAGTCTTTTCAATTTGTATTTCATATTGAATTTACAACATTTATATAAATGTAAACCTTGCATATTTTGTTCACAAGGTAATATCACAATTTCAGCAAATCACACTGTTTCTATGGCGATCGCTAAATTGCGAATCAAAATATATTGATCTGGTCTTTCGTACGTTCAAATGGTGTACTGTTAATCAGCCGCAAATGAAACATGGCGAGTATAATTTTTAACTAATTGAAACGTTACCATAAAAATGTAGAAGGGATGTATTAAACCCCCTTTTTTCCGTCTGACAGAGTGATTCTAACCAGTCAACAAAAGTAATTGCCCTCATCACCTGCGTTTTTTTCGTTTTTAATCATAGGCTAAAAGTACAAGTTTTACTTAAAGCTTACTTCGTCGTGCCTTGTTCGAGTCAATGTATCTCTACTAATTCAACTCAAAGTTGTGGGGAGCATGCTGTGTCAGATTACCTCGTCTTTATGACGTCTCTGAAGCGCACGAGGATAATCCCTTTGAGGTGCTGCAATGTAGCTTATATAAAGTACAAATATATCCTCGCATCACAGCTTCATTTCGAAATACTAATAGTTATTCGGAACGATGCATACCACAAAATTGCTTTGGTCACTGCATATAAAATATAGATCACCGCATACTTCGGCAAGTCTGACTACAATGCTCAAGTCGCTTATCCAGCGTTAGCTTGTGTGTTCCTTCTTGCTCTTTGACGTGAAGCGGCTGTGTTGCGTTGGTGGGTGCTCCAAGCTCTAGCATCTGATCCAAATCGAAATTTTTTTAATGATCTTATGTCATCTTAAGTTAACATGTTCGTGCTTTTATGTGGTTTTAAGAAAAACACTTGGTTATACCAGAACTGTTTTAGGATGTGTGGATGTGTTTGTGTTCGTTCCTTTTCTGTGTATAGTGTGTGGGTTTCCCCTTTGAGGGGGTACCACGTAGAAACACAGGATTTCTGTGGGTACGTAGAGTGACGTGTTTCATTGGCGTTTCGCCATCACACTTTTCCCGTCGACCAAACTAATAAAACAAAAGAACGGAAAAATGTCGGCGCTGTCGTACCAGGCAGATTTACCTGGAGGAGGTCCACGCTGCCGTACAAGGCAGATTCGCGGGAAGGAGGAAGCGCCAAAAGAAAGAAAGAGGCTCCGAGGCCAGATCCTCCCACAACGAGAGAGTCACCGCCACCGCTTGCGGCCGGCTCTTCTATCCTACGGGAAATGGACGCGCCCGGAGTAAGTGGTGTGGCTTAGCAGGCAAATGGGTCGCGTCCACAATCATTCCCAAGGGTGCGCCAGAGGCACACTCACCCAGAAGTGCGAGGGAAAAACCTCCCGCTTTGAAGAATGCGGGCTCACCTCGTATTCGGGGAGGCCGCCGCCATAGCAGCCCCCACGTCCTTCGTGTGCTAGGCCTAGATAGGGAGACGGAGAACACGTGGTTTCCACAAGTGTTAGATTGTTCGATGTCTCTTGGATTTTTGTGTATTGAGATGTACCACCAGGAAGCCATGTTGCTCCTTAATGATCATCAATACCCTACTGGAAAAAAGCATATGCACTCACACAACTCACATTTCATAATACCGTACAAAGGACCGATATAAAGAAATATGTAAAAGAAGCTAGTTTAATTATCTGAATTAACAATTTTACCTGGTTCAATAAAATCTCTCTTACCTTATACAAGTATAATAATCATAAAGCGCACAAACGTTGGACGGTGCTGTGCGCGCTATCTATTTATTTAAATTGTAGATAGTGGTAATAATATAAAACAGTATCATTTAAGTACCATGGGACGGGTAAAGTATGACAGACAAACATGGCCGAACCATAAATTGACCTGTGCGTATAGAAACATGTTTGATGGTTGTTTCGAATGGTGGAATATGGGTCGTTAAATAAAAAGAACTCGGATAAACAAGGATATACATAATTTGTTTTATCTTAACCAGACGGATAGAAATAAAGAACTTTAATAATTAACCAGATATAAAATATAATTATGTTTGTTTGCAGGCCCTGAAGGGAATTGTTAAATCAAATCCGTTAACTGATGTCAAACTACCTGGGTTTGAGAAGTACTCAGCAAGAGAAATGTTCTATATAGCATTTGCGAACGTAAGTTTCTTTCCGAATTTGAATTGCAAAAGTATATCTGGCATAAAAATTGCACTAGATAAATGCATACATATGTACAACAATAACGAATTTCTCACACTCTCGAAAAATATAGTTTTCGGTTCGGCACGTGTTTGAATCGATATATTTAGTAGGCTTTATGTAACCGCCCATTTTACAGATTTTGCAGCCTTTTTAGCCCTCAAAGTAACCTTCTAAAATTATTGGCACAGCAGTCCAACTTGAATAACCACCCTCCGTAAGATCAAGGTACATCCCGCTTGAGTTCCAAAGAAAGCTTGGAAATCGGCGCGGGTATTTTCTTGCATTCTACAACTATAAAATCAGAGCAGCTTTACGCGAAAGCACGTCACTGCTCAAGAGCATAGAAAAAAGCTGCATCGATGTTAGCAGTGGTGTGAAGCTCATTTGATGGACTAATGCCGTATGGTACAACGACCTACTCCCATATAGAAACTTGTATAGAAACCGTTGTGAAAAGGATTCACCTAATTTCTGTGAGGCATTGGTATAGCCATTCAGAGTTTAAAATACGCTGGGCGTTACGAGTCTACACTACCGTATTATCGCTTCGTAGCTAATGATAATACGTCATTAGCTTAAAAGAACCCCGAAGATCAAATCACAATAAAAGAATCGTATTGTGAAGGCATATCATAAGTTTATTCAGATTTCAGTAGGTACCCGCGAGGTAATTGTCAATTTGAATTGTCTTCTCATACCCTCCTGCCATAATACTTTGAATAAAGTTGCCTTAGGAATACCTTTACATAATGCGGACGGAGATATGTCCTTAATTACGTTATAAGCGTTTTTAACGAAATATTTAATGAATGATGAAGTTTGATGCCCTATCAACGCAACTATATAAAAACTGGATGTTTGATTGCTCTTCCTTATTTATCGCCTTACCTCTATCTTTCTTGCTCAAGGCTCAATGTAATAAAATGTTGGTACCAGCTATGAAATACTACATCAAGTATAACCCTCACACTATTCCAAAATACAGGTAAGCTTAGTGATTTTCTGCACGTGATCTGTCATATTCACCACATTCGGTATGAGTTGATACCACGAGGGCGCCACAGTGTTTGGTGCCCCAGTAGACTTCCGGTAATATATTTATTTATTCTTCAGCAACGCACAGCTGTCGGGTAAGAAGAGTTTCCTTCAGAGAAGTTTTTGTAGTAGGTTTGTAAGAACATCAGTGCATTGTACAAAGTAGTGCAAATAACAAAAGGATGAGAGACAAATGGAAAAGAAGAGGAAAAACCGGAAGCGCGCAGGGGTCCGCCGATAGGGGGTGGTAGTGAGCTTGTTTGCAAACAAACATCTGTGAATACGTTTGAATTAACGTAAATTTGAGCAATGAAAAGTTGTGACTTCTTGTTTCGTAAACCAAGCAGATGTCTTCATGACTATAGAAAGGACATGAGAAGAGCCACTTATATAAAAAATACACACGGGGAAAGTAAAATCTAGCAACATAAATTTTCAACGATTTGTGGTTGATTCGCCTCTTTACTAAACTGCGGAACGCTTCAAAATGCCACAGGAGAGATTTTCTTGGCGATAAGTCTCGAGAGTCACGGACTCGTACATTGCGCGACTCTACACTCTTAAAACACTGGGCGCATATATTTATCCATAAAGGGAGGAACGATATTGTCCCCTATGTTCCTTTAAAAACGGAGCAACGTTAGCCCTTCAAACAGGAAGAGACTTTACTCTCTCGTCCGCGCAGCAGAATAGTGGCTAGGAACCAAGTGAATTGAATTCAGTAAGGGGCTTACCGAGGACGCAATGCATAGCATAAGTCTTTACGGAGAACGCTGCCTCGATTCAACCGAATAGAGCTACCATAGTTTTCGGACAGGCACTAACCTATCCGAACTGCGAGGCGAGTTCGTTTTTGCAAGGTGACCGATTCGATAGACTGCGCGTCTGCTATTCACGCCATCTGCTCGATTCGCGCTCCTGGCCGCAATGCCTGGTGGGACTGCAGCCCGGCGCAACGTCGATTTTCTCGGTGCGCGTTGGGGCAACAAAAAAACGCACCGGGAGAGTGCGCTCCGTCGATCGAAGACGTCCGGTGCGCACCAGTGCACTTGATCGAAGACGACCGGGCGCACCTCGGTGCCCCGGTGCGCACCATTGCGGATGATCGAGGGTGCTACGCGGAGGGCAAGTTCGTCTGCTTCTTGCGCAGGGGGTAGCGGTGACGTCAGAACACCAAGCCCTGATTGGCTGATCGCGACCCCCTATCTGAGCGTCGTCTGCTCCTTTGCAACGTCGTCTGCTCGCAACGTCGTCTGCGTCTGTCTTACCTTTCCTGCGACTTTCGAAAGTGCCAAGGCCAGAGGCCTGGTTCACAAAACGATCTTACGCCAAAAATATGCGCAAGACAAAACTTGAGAACAAATTCGTATTCACGAAACGAATTTTTCTTAAGTTTTGCGCAGGTTACGACGAAATCCTACGACAGCTCCGAAGCTGCCTTACGCACTTCTTACGATCAAATCAGCATGGCCGAGAGCGTCACGGTCGCGACGACCAACGGACGTTTATTTTTCTACGTGCGCTTCTCACGCGTCTCGACTGCAAGCAGCAAAAAAAAAAAAGTAAAAAGTACTTCAGACAGACCACGACGAACAAGAACGCTGGATCAAAAAACACTTGGGAAAAGCTCCAACGGCCACGATTCCACCGACACCGACCAAGCGAGCACGGCAGATAGGCCTAGCAGGCACTCCGACTCGGCGACCGTCTGCCCGACCGGCTGGCGTGCTCAATGGAATATGCCCGCGCGACCCTTGTGAACCCTTCCCGTCTTATACTTTGATCGCTGACCTCAATTTTGGATTAAGAGGTCAATCTCTTCCTCTTGTCATCTCCTTGTTTTCCGAGGCACTCTCGCCGGTAAAACAGCGGTGAATTTCCGACGGACGCAGGAAAGGTAAAGCAGCCATCGCTTTGACTAGCAGACGTAAAGCAGACGACGTTAACTGCGACAACCCGCCGACACCGTTAAAGAGTGAGGAGTCTCGCCGCACACGAAAGGAGGGAAAAAGTATTTGGGAGGGAACTTGCGGACACTAACCACCCTCACCTCTCGGTTCTTAGCAAACAAACCTCGGCGCCTCGGGACACCTCACCAATGAGTCCTTTGACTTCCCTCCTTGATGCGCGTCTGCTAGTTGTTAAGCAAAAACAACGTACCGCTCGAGTTATTTCGCCTGCCCTCTCTGAAAGACGAAGTCGAGCTCGCTCGTAAAGACCTGCACTTCCGAAAGTCGGCAGGAAAGGTAAAAGACCGACGCAGACGACGTTGCGAGCAGACGACGTTTGCAAAGGAGCAGACGACGCTGAGATAGGGGGTCGCGATCAGCCAATCAGCGCTCGGCGTTCTGACGTCACCGCTACTTCCTTTCTCATGCGCAGAAGACGAAAATGAGCCCACTTGCGAGGCGTATTAATATCATCCTGCTGTTACACCACTGGTACGCGAATGATCACATCGGCGACAAGTGCACTTTTCGTTCACAACTCACAACACTTCCACCACGACGTTGCTGCCATTCTTATGTCACGCGGAAATACAAAACGGGGTTGGTGGTCGGTTGGCATTCAGCATAAAGAAACAGAGCCGAACGCGGCGCAGAGGCTAAGCAGCCACCCGGCAGCAAAGCCTGCCTGTCTTGGAAGCAGTTTTCGCGACTTCCATAACGTCGTGAACGCTGTCACGTCGTTGCGCGTGGTTCCGCAATCCGGAGACGGCTATCTTAGCCCAGTGTACGTAGCGCTGCTGGCAACGCTCCGGAAATTAACTGTTTTTAATGGCTTCGTTTGCTCGTTTGACAAAATTAGCATTAATAACGTCAATGCAACCGAGATGTTCTGCACATGTGGAGTGGGAGACAGAATTACATGCGACCTTTGCTGCCGCTGAAGCTCGATCAACTCAACAACGTTTAGTAAACAACGCGCGCGACGTGCTCGAAACACGAAACCGAAAAAGAACGAGGTGGCTTTCAGACAGCTTTCAAGCCTGTGCGTCACGTGGCATGACGTAACATCCCGGAGGCCTGCACGGGCGCTGATTTGATGCAGGTGCCGCGTCAGAGTTTGCGTGGGATTCGTTTCCTCTCGTCTCACGCGAACACTGACGCGGCACTCGCATCGAGTCAGCGCCCGTGCAGGCTTGCGGGACGTGACGTCATTTCACGTGACGGGCAGGCTTGAAAGCTGTCTAGGAGGTGTTTGCCGAACCTTTCTCCCGTCTGCCGGGAGATGGAGAAAAACGGCTCGTTCCTCCCTTCTCGTGTCCGCTTGGGAGCGCGTTAGTCGAAGGAAGGAAGACGTGCCGGTGCTACCTTTTTCCCTTTTTGTTTTCTTAGAATGCACTAGATCGAACAGGGCATCCGCGCTTTTTCGCCATTTTACCACCTAAATTAGTTGCCCAAAGAAGCACTTTAGTAGTTCTGACAGCTCTTCGATTCGTAGTAAAACAAACAAAAAGAAAACGGTGACCGTTTGTTCGCATTAACATTGGCGCACTATCTATAGAGGCGTGATCGAATAAAGGGAGGCAGTCCGGCCAAGAGATCCTCTTTCGCCGCGTTCCGACGGCCGAAGGACTTTTCTGTGACGGTGCTGTGCGTCACCGTCTGGTTGTTCGATATAGGTATTGATTAAAATTATTCACGGGCTATTAAGACGATTGTTCGCGAGCACTACTGACGCATCCCGTGATAACTGTTTGATGAAAACTCTCCTGAGTAGTTTTGACTCGTTGAAGGTTATTGAACTAAAAATTGTATAAAAAAAAGAGCTTACTTAGACAGCACGCCCGAGAAACGTCTTGCTTGAAACAAGATTGGCAATCCTAGGGGCCTAACTTGGCGCTAATTCAGCGCGAGAGTTCGTCTGCTCCTTGCGCACCTGGTGCTCTTGTTTACCCCCGAATCTGTCTACGAGCCCTTGTTTTACAGGAATACAATTATAGCCTCCTATATACAGGAAAAGCCTGGCAGATCGGCACTAGAAGCGGCCGCCGAAATGGAAAAAGTGGAGCTGCAGACAACGGATGAGAGGGGGAGGCACTCACTTGATCGAATGACGTTTTAGCGAACGCCCACGTTTCATCGAATGACACTTTAGCGAATAGTCGGACGCCGCGAAGCGGCGTTTTCGGGTGGGCCAAATGAGTTCATAATTTTGTAATGAGTTGCCGCAGACTGTCGCCGCGAAGCGGCGTAAAGCGCAGCGCGACGGATGGGTTAACGCGCGCCCCCGTTATTCGCTAAAACGATCATTCGCTCAAATGTCGCCGTTCGCTAAAATGTCATTCGCTCTTGTGATATGGACCCGGATGAGAGGAGAGCCACGTGACCGGCGCCCCGCTGCGGCGAGGCGCCGAAACACACTTCTCCCGAGCGAACAAGTGTGTTTCGGGTCCTCGCCGCTGCAAAAGCCGTGCGCTGAAGTCGAGGTCCTCCGAGAAATGGCTCTCTGATGCTCTGTGCTACAAGATCCTCGCGCTCCAAACCTGCGACTGCGCACTGCATGCATGGCTCCGTCGTCGAAGTGCCAGGTTTTGGGAGTATAGAGGAGGCTATATCACAACGGATGACGGTGAGCGCTTGGTTGCCACGTCATCGTGCGTTCCCTAGAAATCTATGCTTTCCTTTGATTGACGTGCCCCTGCTGGCGTTTTAATGCACCAAAGACCCTTTTTGGAACACTTGCTGGCCGTTATGCCTTTCCAGAGTACTCTTCATTTCATTTCTATGTTGTTGTTGTTGCTTTTTTTTCTTTTTTTTTAGGTGTGGGGGCGTTAATAAACAATTGCCGAATTTCCAGATTTCAGCCTAAGATATCAGATATCAATTTCATCCTAACGTTTTCGTGTTTTTTTTTATCCCTTCCAGTCCGCGTTCTTTTTAGTGCAGCACAATCGTATATCTTTTGCGATTTTGTGTCGAAGCTCATTGTGCCCGGCAGCGAGCC